AGGAGGCAGAAGCAAAAGGGTTTCTGAGTTAGAGGCCAGCCTGAGTGAGACCCTGTCTCAAAACAAAAGGAAGTAAGACTATCTTTAATTTATTCTTTGCATACCTTATTATATATCAGGAATTATGGCAGGGAATATGAAGAAAAGATGAAAACAATATTTTTATCCCAGGTTAGCAAGAAAAACATATAACAAGTATTAGAATATGATGCTATTATGATATTAGGACATATATTGAAATGCCGGTTGACACAGTGTCCTCTGGGAGCAAAAAGATGGCCTATATCCAGAGTGAAAGGGATAAATTGCAAGAATGCGCAGAGGCATAAAAGGGATAGGGGTACTGTACTCACAGTGAGCCCTGCATATGATTTAAACATGTATGGGCAGAGTAACAAGAAGAGGGAAAACTGGGAAGGGAAGTTGGAGGTAAATGGAAATTCTTTTATTTATTTATTTAATGTTATTGATTGTTTTTTTCTTTTCTTTTTTTTCTTTGAGACAGGGTTTCTCTGTAGCTTTGGAGCCTGTACTGAAACTTACTCTGTCGACCAGGCTGGCCTCAAACTCACAGCGATCCTCCGCCTCTGCCTCCCGAGTGCTGGGATTGAAGGCGTCGTGAGCCACCACAGCCGGGTTAGAAATGGAAATTCTTAGTCCCTGCCCTAGACCTATTGAATCAGGAATAGTGGGAATTCAACAGAGTCTGAGAGTCTGGCCCTGCTTTTAAGGAGTCGTCGGGTGGTTCTCAGATTCACCAATGCAGAGAGCCACTGCTGCAGGCCATGGAAAACCTCTAAAGGATTGTTTTCCTTTGGTTTTTCAAGACAGCGTTTCTCTGTAGCTTTGGAGCCTGTCCTGATGCTTGCTTTCTAGACCAGGCTGGCCTTGAACTCATAGAGATCCTCCTGACTCTGCCTCCCTAGTGCTGGGATTTAAGGCGTGTACTACCACCCAGCTCCTCTGAAGGATTTTTAAGCCACAGGGACTGACCTGATAAGTGTAGAGGTGGGTGGGTGGTGGCCATTGACTATCCAACACCTGACTCCAGTATAGATACAAGAAAAAAAAAAACACTGTTGGATGACTAGGGCCCGAGATGATGAAGTAAGCCGAAGCTACCGCAGCAGGGATGGAATCAGATTTAAGAGATGTTTCAAGTGACCAAAGGTCAGTCAGGTGACTCGTGTACAGTCAGCCATACAGATGTGTCACTGAAGTGGCTTTTACATAAAGGCTATATAGTCTTGCTGAATTTGTCCATTTCTAGACCCCAGAAAAAGGGAGGCTGAGAGCGTTTTCTATGTGTTTCTTTATAGTCAAGAGTAATAAAATAAAAACCCCAAATAAACAAAAGCCACAATAAAACAAAAAGTAGGGTTTAACATAGAAAATAAGGCTGGGTGTGATGGTTTGTACATGAGCCTGCTAGTCTACTTGGTTGTCCTGTAACTCATTGTAAGTCAGTGGGGTGATAACTTAACATATTCATATTTTCTGTGAATTTAGTTAGCAGGAACTTAAACTCTGAGAGTGATAATATTAGAACATGCTGACAGAAACAAATTTTGAACCCAAGAAAACTAAACACCAGGCACGGGTTCAGCTGATCAAAGTCAGGTACTATCAAAGTGAAGCAGTTCCTGTTTTCCTAACTGTGCCACTAAACTCACAGAAAGAACCCAGCTAATTCAGCAGGAAGCGGGAACTGAACTGAGTGAAAGAACTAGACTTTGGGCTACACCCTGAAGGTCAAAAAAGCCAAATAAAAGCAGAGCTGTTATTTCTAATTTGGGAGCATGATTTAGCTGGGGCCATCTTCAATTACCTGAGGAAAAGCAAGACAGGTACAGGTCAGCGTATAGGAGTAATTTACCTCCCAAGTGTCTTTTGGAGTTTTGAGGCAGAGTTTCACTATGTAACCAAGCTGGTCTGGTACTCACAGTGTAGAGTGGGCTGGCCTCAAACTCACAGAGCTCCACCTGCCTCAAGACTCTTGCAGGATACAATTCCTATTTTTATCATGATTCTGGATACCGCTTGCTATTTCATGCTTTTTAGTTGCTACCAATATCTTGCCTTATTTGGCCAACATATTTGTCCAAAAATAGTTCTCTGTCCACAACTGCACAGTGGCCAGGCGTGGCGGTGCACACCTGTACCTCCAGCATTTGGGAGCCTATGGCAGATAGGCTGTCTAGACTTTGGAGCTGGCCTGGGTTACACTGAGTTACAGGCTAGATGGAGGCTCATAGACAAGACTGTCTCAACCCCTCCACCTCAAACTGTACACTTTTAGGTAACTTGAGAGCTAGAGAGGTCCACAGAAATGAAAATAAAGGCCCCATAATAGAGATTAAGAAATCAAGGATTTAAAGACTAGATCACTTAATATATTTATTGTAAGTAAATATACTCCAGACTGCTAAAGGGGACAAGACAGCCTTTAGAATTGGTTGCCTTCATTGCTAGTTTTTAGGAGAGATTAAAATTTTCTCTATTTTCTATGTTAACCCCCCTCCCCCTTTTGCTTTATTGTGGCTTTTGTTTATTTGGGTATTTTTTTTTTGGTTTTGGTTTGGAGTTTTTGTTTTTTGGTTTCGGTTTGTGTTTTGACACAAAGCCTCCCTGTTATGTAGCTCTGGCTGTCCTGGAACTCACTATGTAGACCAGGATGGCCTTGAGCACAGGAGACTACCCAACTTATTTTAAACCTTTTTTTAAAAACAAAAGGGAGAGCCCGGCAGTGGTGGCCCAAGGCTTTAACCCCAGGCAGAGCAGGTGGATCTCTGTGAGTTCAAGGCCGGTCTGGTTTATAAAAGCAAGTTCCAGGACAACTGGGGCTAAACAGAGAATGCCTGTCTCAGAAAAACAAACAACAACAACAACAACAACCCAATAAAACTAAAAGAAAAGGGAGTTGGGCAGTGGTGGTGCACAACTTTAATCCCAACACTTGGGAGGGTGGCAGAGGCAGTTTGAATTCAAGGCCAGCCTGGTCTACAAAACGAGTTCCAGGACAACCAAGACTACACAGAGAAACCCTGTCTCGAAAAACCAAAAATAAATGAATAAATTAAAAAAAGGAAAGAGTAGCAGTATTTTGAGACATCCCATATGTAGCCCTGGCTGTCCTGGAACTCTCTATGAAGGCTGGGCTGGCCTCCAACCCAGAGATTCACCCGCCTGCCTCTGCCACCTAAATGCTGGGATTAAAGGCCTACGCCAGCACACTCAGCTTGTAATTTCTTTATTGGCTTAGTAAGGAATGTGGTGCGTTTTGTAGTTTCTTGTTTCATGTTTTCAGACAGTGCACTTGAATGTAAGACCTCCATGAGAAAGAATATTATATATATATATATATATATATATATATAATATTTGAGAAGAATAAACATGAACAATTTAAGGAAGCTAGGTGAGGTATCTATTTTCTGTCTTTGCCTATAAAGGGATCACTACTCTACACTGAAATAGTACCTATTAATTACACTTGATTACATACTACATGTACAGGGAATCTATCACAACCTTTTCTCACAGATTTGAAAAATAAAATTTTAAGCACCCTGGCATGTCAGAAATCCTGTGTTGCTTTGTGAGTTCTACATATCTTTCAGAAACCAGTTTACTCCCACACCCTGTTTGAGTGTATAGCTTGTCAACTTTAAAGACACTTTTGGTCGTGTTTCCTGTTTTCCAAACTCATCACCGATCTGTACCAAATACATGTGTAATCGAAAAGCTGGGTGTCTACCCCTTACTCAATTTCCTGAATGTAGTATTTAAAAGGCAAAGGAATTTCCCAATCCTTACAGGAAGTGTGGAGAAGATTTTCACCACTAAGAATGTATTAAATCCCATGTGTGCCTTTCCCGAAAGAGTAGACTTTCTCCTTCTGTCTGGAATTCGCATTAAGAACAAAATGTGTTCCAAAAGACCAGGACTGCCTACTAGGCAAAATTTAGGAACTTGGATTTTTCAGGATTACTTTCTTTTCGTTTCCTTAAAGGATAAAATGCTAGGTAGGACCTTTCCACTTCATATTTGCCCAGTGGCTTTCCAAAGTGAAATTTCCTTCAGTTCCACTGGGACTGCAATGCTAGTTCAGCCGGAGAAAGACAAATGTCAGTTACTTTTCTCAAAGGGGAACCACAGAACTTTAAAGGCTGAGGTCTAGGGAGGGACTACAACCTTCCTCCTTAAGACATCAGCCCCACCTGCTTGGGGCCCAGCCTTCACAGCTCTATCCCCACACTGCCCGACTCCTTGTGAACCTGGTCATGTGAGCCTGTTTACAGCTGAGCAGCTGGTGCAACCATCAGGATCAGTGCAGAGGTCCAGTGAGCAGTAAAGATACAGGCCATGTACCCCCTATAATTTCAAGAAGACGTTTGCTTCCACTACAACCCTCCCCGTTTCTCCACCTCCTTTCATGTCCCTTCAGGCAAAGCCATCCCGGGATGCCTGGCTCCAGCCATCCTCTCCCCCCCTCCCCACCCATTTCCTCTCAGTTGCTCGGTGGGGGGACTGGCTAAACTGCAGGAAGGGCGAGGACAGTGTCACCCCGAACAGAGTAGTCGACCGACTTCTCTCCCGCAGCCCTCCAGGCAACGTCCGCCAAAGAGTTGTCCCTGGAGCCGCATCCCCAGGGCAACTGAACTCCGCCAGACCAGCAGTGGGAGGCTTGAGAGGTTGCCTTCGCCAGGCAGGGGCAGCTACATGTCCGCGGGCCGACCCTGTCGAAGGGCCACCAGCAGTCAGAGAGTGGTGGACCCGCTGCCGGGTCCCAGCCACCCACCGCAGCCCGGCACCGGCACCAGCACCGGCACCGGCACCGGCACCGGCACCGCACAGCCCTGCTGTCAGTCACGGAGCCAAGCTTTGGCTGTGGGTCCTGGGCATTGTCTACACCGGAAGGCGGGGGCTCGGCCACGCAAGTTCCACGTTTTCCCCCAAGTCAGAGGAAGTGGTTGACGGGACACTGGGGGGACTCTCACCTCAGTAACAGTGGCTCCTTGCAAAGCAGCCGCGACTGCTCCTTGCTCCTTTGTCAGCGGCTCCGGACTGCACTGCCTGCTGGGATACGGGAGGACTCTACTGCCACCTCTCCCCGCCCAGGAGGATGAGTCACAACTGGAGGGTGGGTGAGAAGAGGGAGAGAAGGCGGAACCGGGGGCGGGGTCTAATCGGGGGCGGTGCTTCGGTGTTGCCACCTGGCTTCTGGGCTTTCTTCCTTCTCAGTGCTTCGAACTACTTCCTTCTTTGTCCTGTGGCTGCTCCTCCTCTTCCTCTGACCCCTGAAACGATCAGGGACTTTCTCAGAGAGCCATCCCTTTGCCCTTATTTGATGGTGACCATTGACATCTGTCTCATTCACTCCTCTCCCCAACCCAGAATATACTCAATGAGTACCCAAGGCGTGTGACTCTTCCTTTGAGACATGTCTTGATGACCAGCCCTGTATCTCCACTCTTAACATCGGCACAGCAGACTGTTTAGGATCCAGGGTTATTTGTTCATGTTGCTACAGTAGCCCCCAATTTGGATTTATTCCTTCCACTGTTACTTTTGTCTAAACTGTTCCCAAGGATTGCATTCCAAACCAGCCTAGTCTGCATAGCAAGACGCTGTATGGTGGGGTAATGTGCTTGTTAGTTTATGCCAACTTGACACAATCTAAAGTCATCTAAGAGGAGGGAACCTCAATTAAGAAAATGCCTCCATAAGGCAGGGGAGCCTTTAGGGGACTTTCTTTCTTTCTTTCCTTCTTTCTTTCTTTCTTTCTTTTTGGTTTTTTTGAGATAGGGTTTCTCTGTAGCTTTGGAGACTGTCCTGGAACTAGCTCTTGTAGAGCAGGTTGGTCTCGAACTCACAGAGATCCGCCTGCCTCTGCCTCCGCCTCCCTAGTGCTGGGATTAAAGGCATGTGCTACCACTGCCCTACTTGGGCATTTTCTTAGTGATTGATAGGTGAGGGCCCAGCCCATTGTGGGTGGTTCCATCCCTGCGCTGGTGGTCCTGGGTTCTATAAGGAAGCAGGCTGAAACAGGGAGGAGGTGGTGCACGCCTTTAGTCCCAGCACTCAGGAGGCAGAGGCAGGGGAATCTCTGTGAGTTTGAAGCCAGCCTGATTTACAGAGCTAGTTCCAGGACAGCTAGGGCTGTTACACAGAGAAACCCTGTCTCAAAAACAAAAACAAAAACAAAACCAAACCAACAAAACAAGCAAGCTAACAAACAAACAAGCAGCCATGGGGAACAATCCAGTAAGCCGTACCTCTTTGTGGCCTCTGCAATAACTCCTGCCTCCAGGTTCCTGCCCTATTTAAGTTCCTGTCCTATTTAAGTTCCTGTCCTGACTTCCTTTGATGATGAACTGTGAAATGGAGTGCAAGCCAAAAAACTCCTTTCCTTGCCAACTTGCTTTGGTCATGGTGTTTCATCGAGACAGTAGCTTCTGGGCTTAACTAGAACACCTGTGTTTAAAGAAAAGTGTGCTAGGCTGATGGCACAGACCTTTAATCATCCCAGCACTTGGAAGGCTGAGGCAGGGGGATGTCTGTGAGTTGGAGGCCAGTCTGGTCTACATAATGAGTTTCAAGACTACATAGAGAGAGCCTGTCTCAAAAATAAATTGAAAATGCAATCTAAATTTTACTCAAAAAGGAAGAATAAGATGCAATGGTCACCAGTCCCCTCCCAATAAGTATGAGACCCAATGACTTCTTCCTGGATGCCCTACCCAAGCAACCAGTTACACAGTGGCTATCAGAGGCTAGAGCCTAAGTGATACCTTTACTCACAGATTCGGTGTGTAATGCTCTTATCTGTCTTTTACCTACCTTTCAGGTTCCAGGGGAAATGTCACTTTCCCAACCAGCATTTCCAAAGCTTCCATAAGAACCTAAGAACCTAGTGTTTTCTTTTTCTGAGACATGGCCAACTATGTAGTCCTGGCCTGACACTCACTTTGTAGGCCAAGTTAGTTCTAACTTACAGTGATCCTCCTCTCTCCGCCATGCTGGGATTACAGCACACACCACCAAGTCCAGCAGATTATTCCATAAGAACCACTGACTCCTCCTCCGTCACCAAAGAACACTGCTTATTCCTGATGGAGGGAGGTCATTGGTTAAATAAAAAGAAACTGCTTGGCCCTCATTGGTTAGAAGATAGGTGGGAGGAGTAAACAGAACAGAATGCTGGGAGGAAGAGGAAGTGAGCTCAGACTCCACAGCTCTCCTCTCGGGAGCTGACGCCTCAGAGAGACACCATGCTCCCAGCTCCCAGGCAGACGCACACGATGAAGCTCCGACCCAGGATGGACATAGGCTAGAATCTTCCTGTTAAGCATACCTAGGGGCGCTACACAGATGATTAGAAATGGGCTAAATTAATATGTGAGAATTAGCCTAGAAGAGGCTAGATAGAAATGGGCCAAGCAGTGATTAAATGAATACAGTTTGTGTGTTGTTATTTCGGGCATAAGCTAGCCATGTGGGCCGCCGGGGTGCTGGGGATGCAGCCCCGCCACCCTTATTCCTACATATCCTGTTTTGTTATTCTTCTTGACATTGGTAACATGGTCATGTTTCTATCTTCCTTTCTGCTCTGCCCAGGATAGGAATACCTCAGAACAGGTCACAGCTGCCAGCACAATGCCCTTTCTACATGTATACAATTTAATTAAATGCGATACTTCATCTTGACTGCATCAGAAACCCTAAGTAGGCCTAGAAAGGATTCCAAGCAAGGCTTTCTTCACTAGGCCGTCTCTCCATCTTGACCTGACCAAGTGTCACTTTTGCAAACACAAACTGGTTAGGCAGCAGAGCATTGCAAAAGGACCAAAGCTTGTACTCCTCTTGCAGGTCGGACTGGTTTGGTACAATACGTGCTTGTGGGAGACATAACTCTCGCGGCTCCCTTGCGAGTCCAGTGAAGAAAAGTGTATGGTGCCCTAGAAAATAGCTGAGTTTCCGTGTCAAGACACCTGCTAGCTTTTGGAGTCTTTTCGATTCCTATTGGCTCAGGCTATCCCTGGGCTCCATACCAACTCAAACCCTACGTGCATTGTCTGTGACATAAAAGTATATTGCAAGAGTGGGCATTAAAATAAAGAGGGGGAAGCTGGAATATGGTGACCGTCCAACAGCCACCCACAGGACAAAGCAAAAGCCTTACAGTTGTAGACTTCAGAAGGTAAGTGGTCTTTGAGCTTAGAGGGTGGGGACCTCTAAGTGTAGCAGTTCTAGATTGAATGCAATGCCCTAATTTAGGAAACTAATCCCAGTGGCCCACACTACTCTGGGGCTGGTACATGCTTAGCAGTTTTAGAGAATATACCTTATAGGATGCAAAGCATGGCCCATCCCCTCTAGAGGGGCAACCTCTGTGATCTAACAAGAGGCGCCTTACTTTTCCTTGTTCTCCCATCATTTAAGGTGCCATTGCATTCTAATTGTATTATAAAGGATATTATGGCAGATGCTGAGAAAATTCCTTCCCTGGAGAGGTGTAAACGAAGTCTGCCTCCTCCTTATAAGGCCTCAATAACAAACTAAAGTATGATTCCACTAAAGCTCAACCTGGGGGATGAAGGAGTATGAGGCTTAGTTACAGAGAATGACTGAAGGCTTGCTACAAGTATGTGGGTGACTCCAAAGCAGTCACTCTGGAAAGTTTTCACACAGTGTGGTGTTTCTTTCCTGCCTGCCAGTTCCCGAATAATCACTCAGAGGCTTAATATTAATTACAAACTGTGCAGCCTATTAGCACAGGCTTATTAGTAACTAATTATTACCACTTAAATCAACCCATTTCTTTTTTCTTTTCTTTTTTTTTGAGACAGGGTTTCTCTGTAGCTTTGGAGCTTGCCCTGGAACTAGCTCTTGTAGACCAGGCTGGCCTCAAACTCACAGAGATCCGCCTGCCTCTGCCTCCCAAGTGCTGGGATTAAAGGCGTGCGCCACCACTGCCCGGTCCATTTCTGTTATTCTATATTTTACCACGAGGCTCATAGCTTGTTGCCTCACATTTTGCTTTCCTGACAGCTGCTGGCATTTCCTTGCCTCCGCCTTTTTTCTCCCTGTATCTCTGTTTGGTTTGCCCTCCTGGTTCTATTCTGCCTGGCTATTGGCCAAATCAGCTTCAATGGTAGTAAGACATATTCACGGCATACAGAAGGGCATCCCACATCAGCATGGACAATGGCTTCTTCTCAGCTGCATAAGGGAGCATCCCTCAGTTAACCTTCCCCAGCTTATGGATTCTAGCTCTTCTAGAGATCATTGAGGCCAAGAGCAATTAATGCAGAATTTTACACACGAAAATGGCTATTTAGAATGACCAGAACCTCAGGTGAGGGCCCAATGACCCAGTCCAGCCCATTTTTCCTTGAGAGAATGTCAACAGTCTACAAACCTTGTTGTGATGGTCTCTTCTAACAAGTTCAATTGATCTGCTGAAGATAGCAACTGTTTTGTTTTGGAGACTATGTTCTACAACAACAAGGTTTCCATAACCCCAAAACAGAGATGCAGATCCTTGGTCTATGTGATTTACAGGCTTGTAGGTGGTTCTATTATGGTAACGTGTACAGCGTATATGGTATCATAAACTATATGATGCTTTCCAAACATAAGATTTGTTTTGTTATTTAAATTCTTTTTAAAAACTCTTTAATCTTTAAATTTTTTTAAAAGATTTATTTTTACTTATGTGTATATGTGTGTGTGCGTGTGTGTGTGCCTGTGTGAAGTTTTGTGCACTGTGTGTCCATGCTGCAAAGGCTAGAAGAGGGTTCAGATCCCCTGTAACTGGAGTAACAAGTGGTTGTGAGCCACTATATAGATGCTGAGAAGTAACCCAGGTCCTCTGGAAGAGCATCAATTGCTCCCAACCGCCGAGCTATCTCTCCGACTCTGTCATTAAAATTCTTTTTTTTTGTAATTTTTTAAAAAATTTATTATTATTTTTTTATTGAAAAAAAAATTTCCGCCTCCTCCCAGCCTCCCATTTCCCTCCCCCTCCTCCCACTCCTCTCCCCCTTCCCCCACTCCTCTCCCCCTCCCTCTCCAGTCTGAAGAGCAGTCAGGATTC